CACAACAGACCCCTGCATTTAAAGTAATACAAAATGAGAGACAAAGACACAATAAACAGCTAAATGATTTTTTAAAATCCTCTCTTACTTCATTCTGTGAGGCAGCTGCTCGATGCAGAGGAGTCAGCCACTCCTGGTCTTTAGCATTAACATCAGCACCTGAGACCACAACATCACAGGCAATCAAAGACAAAATACAGTGTTAAAGACTAAATATTCTAACACTTTAGTATAAGGACCAATTCTGGCTATTAACTAGTTGCTTATTATTAACATATTGGCTGTTTATTAGTACTTCTAAAGCCCATATTCTACATGACCATATTCTACATTCCTAATCCTACCCAATACCTAAACTTAACAACTACCTTATGAACTATTAATAAGCAGTAAATTAGGAGTTTATTGATGCAAATATCATTGTTAATAGTTAAGTTAATGGTGAGAACTGGACATTTAAAATAAAGCGTGACCCAAAATATTCTACAATGAATGTTTAGTTTAAAATGAACTTCAATCACTTATACACTTGAAATAATTACTATTTATTTGATCAAATGCAGTAAAACGAGTATTGTGAAATACTATTACAATTTAAAAGAGACACTTTCTATTGATGCAATGGCAAAGCTGAATTTTCAGCATCATTACTCCAGTCTTCAGTGTCATATGATCCTTCGGAAATCTTGCTAATATGCTGATTTGCTGCTCAAGAATTATTTGAGAATTTATTATTATAAATGTTGAAACAAGTTGTGCTGCTTCATATTTTTGGGTAAACCGTGACAAACTGCCATTCAGACATTTGTGGTAATTACAATTTGAAAAAATAAATAAATAACAATAAAAATAATACCTTTATTCTGCGAGGACATTCAATTAATCAGAAAATAAATGCTATAAAAAGCTGCAAAAACAGTTTATTATTATTAATTTTTTATTCCTTTATTATACATTTATAATAAAACCATTATAAATAATTGAGCACAAATAACAACCGATAATAAGTGAACAACAAATCAGCATGTTAGAATGATTTCTGAAGGATCATGTGAGTAATGGCGGCTGAAAATTCAGCTTTACAGCAATACATAAAAATAAAACTACATTTAAAAAAAATAATAATTCTGATTACTTTCGATTATCAAATTATTTCATTATTTTAAGTTGTACTAATAATTCACAATAAATCCTTTTTATTGTATTTGTGAAAAGCATGTGACTGGTAGTGTAACTTCTGAAATAAAGCACAATTGGATGAGTATCTTTTTATACAGGTGCAAGGACACACACTCCACTAACACTCATGCTGGCCAGTCATGTAAAACAACCAGAGTGGTTTGCTGTTCGTGTCTGTAACTGCTCGTCCATAAACCTCAGAAAATCCTGATCTCACCTGAACTGATGAGGAGGTCCATGATATAAACACCACCAACATAAGATGCAGCATGCAATGCAGTGCGGCACTCGTGGTCCTGCAACAACAAATGACTGTACCTCAGGTTATAATTTACAAGAAAAATGTTTGTATTCACTTTTGTAATTTTAGTAATCAGGTTTGTGAAGTGAAGTGAACACACCCGGAGCAGTGCGCAGCCATTTATGCTGCGGCACCCGGGGAGCAATTGGGGGTTCGGTGCCTTGCTCAAGGGCACCTCAGTCGTGGTATTGAAGGTGGGAGAGAGCGCTGTACATTCACTCCCCCTACCTACAATCCCTGCCGGTACGAGACTCAAACCCACAACCTTTGGGTTACAAGTCCGACTCTCTAACCATTAGGCCACAACTTCCCCTTTATGGGATTTATGGTTTCTTACAAAGAAATTAAAGGATTAAAGGAATTTTAACATTTCTTCAAATAAGACTATTTATTCAAGACAAAACCCGCGTACCGATTCATTGACTTCTTCATTTTGCTCCAACAAAAATTCCACCATTTCAGCATTCTGGCTAAATACTGCCTGGACAAGGAGTGACTAAAAGAGAGGAAGACAAGACAGATTCAGGATCAGTGTAGCAACACTTTAGCGAAGAAAGTATTAGGGGTGGGAATTCTGGTTCAAAATCATTGCCTAAACATTGCCCTGGATTTGAGTATATGAAATATAATGGAAGTCAAAATTGGAACTTTTTATGGTCCCCCAAAACTTGTATCTTGTATTCCATACTACTGAAGCCAATGGGGTTTTGTTAGCCATATTCTTCAAAATATCTTATTTTGTGTTCGGCAGAAGAACTGATTTCTGGTTTGCCAAATGATGGCAAAATTTTTATTTGGGTGAAATATCCTTTAAGCCTTTGGTCAGTTTCATTTCTTTTTGTTTGTTTATTCCTTTCACAAGTACTGAATCAAAAACAAATGTTTTGTAAACTATAAAAAACAAGCTTTTGCCATTTTAGAGGCAAAACTAGTACATTTTAGTTAATTTTTTAATTTGTGTCAATGTCAAGTAAACATACAACAAGTCTTAAATAAATATACTCAAAATATCTGCAATGTTGAAAAATGTGCATTTCTCCCCAATGCAGGGATACACACATACCTATATCGCAAATGATTTCAATCCACTAAAGTCAGCTAATGAGCGACATGTGGTTTTTCTCAGACAGCGCAATAGATTACTATTACGAGACGGGTATAACCAGAGCCGGGATCTGGGTATAACTAGTTTTACAGTGACGGTTTTCCTCTGGCTGTGTATAAGGGAAGTATGTTAAACATCTAACTGAAACATACTAGAGAGAGCCAGTCATACTAAACCTGCCTTCCATGCTGCTGAGAAAACTAACGAGAAAAACAGTTATTGACGCTTACCTGCTCGCTTATCTTTAATACTCCCATCTCCACAGATCAGTCAGGTCGGAGTTTATTCATTAGGATATGATAATGAAGTAAAGAGTCTATGTTTTAGGCCGATAATAACGAACGGTAACTAGTGAGCGGATTCACTAGACTAGAGCAACTGCGCTGTAATATGAAGCTGCTGGTGTACAGCGCCGTCTACAGTAAAACAGAAATTATACGGAGTCTAATATCATCCCATACAGGAGGCTCATGCAGTGTTCTGAGATATTTTGTTGCCTTGAATTTGTCAAAGTTTCAAGACAAAAAATATAAAGATACTGTTCACTGTTGGATGACCAGCACATCTACACCTTGCCATGTTCCCCAGGTTTCCTTTCGTTGAAGTGAATTCTATATTCTGAATATTATGATCAGTTCTTGCTGACCAATGACTGAACCTAATGGATTTCTAAACACGGATAAGAGAGCTGGGTGACTTGACTGCATGTAATCTGGATTATGCAATCAGATTCTAAAAATTTAGTACATTTCATTTGAAAATAGCCTACTCATAATCAGACTACCATTTTTATTGATTACATATGATTCACACAGTAGCAAAAAAATATTCATAATTTATTGATTCTCCCTAATTCCTCTTTTTCATCTTTTGAATGTCCCTTTCTAAAATACCCTACACATTCAGAAAGTCTTCCAGTTTTGTGGGCATTCACACAAAGACCAGTCACTAGTTCGGGGGATACACAGCATTTGACCAGTGGATTTACAAAAATCATTTCAGGTTTAAGTTGTATTTCAACATTGCACCAACAACTGATGAACACATTCATTTTTATTTGAATTATGACTCAGTAGGTTATTTAACCATTTATTGTCTTTGTTAGGCTTTTGTCTTTCAAACATTGAAATGCACAAATTCATGCTATTTCTTATTTGCATGTAATGCAGGCATTCCCAAACTTGTGTCATCTGAACCTCTGAATTTACTTGAAGTACCCCTGAGATTTTAAAATAAATATTTTACCAGTTTGCATGTTCACTGTTCTCTGAGGTTGGATAATGGTCACATGACATACAGGTAAACAAATTAAATATTAATTTTTTTTAGTGTTTTATTTACCATATCTAACTCCAAAGAAAGAAAAAAAAGCCTACAAGCATTTAAAAAAAAAAAGCAATTAACGCTGAATTTTGTCAGCTTTCCAAAACTAGTCATGTCAACTGTTCTATCAGTCCATAAGGCAGGAGATAGTTATGATAAATGAGCAGTTTAGTGAATAATCTCGGTTGCATCTTTCCTGATGCTCAATTTCACTTTGTCTGACCAGCACAAATTCAACAAATCTCTAACTTAAGAAAAACAAAACTGACAAATAACATAACATGAACATAAGAAGTAAATTAAAGGACTTCAAGAAAAGAGAAAGACAAGTTATAATATGAAAGATATTTAAAAACAAACAAACAACCACAATAAAAGTCTTAATTCAAAGTCTCATGAAGTTTTATGGACTCTGCTAGTAAACTAAAATAATGTATTTCACATCCCTCTGAGGACAATGTACAAACATAAGTGAAAGACTCTGCACATTCACCTAAAAAAACTGAGCCAAAAATAAATACAATTCAAAGTCTCATGAAGTTTTATGGACTCTGCTAGTAAACTAAAATAATGTATTTCACATCCCTCTGAGGACAATGTACAAACATAAGTGAAAGACTCTGCACATTTCAAAAAAACTGAGCCAAAAATAAATACTTCCAATGCAGAAAAAAAAAAAAACAGTTCAAACAATCTATCAAAATATTCACATGTAAAAGATTTAATGAGTATTTTGATGCTTATCCATAAATGACTACAAAAGACATTGTAAAAGATGTCCCCAGACATTTTTCTCTTTTTTTTCAATTTTTTTTTAATGAAAGGCAATTAGAGTTGTACGTTTCTTTTTAGTAAGTCTCATTTTGCATTGTACATATTGATGCTTGAAGTTTCATCCCTAAATGTTTAGCACAACTGAGCTCAAGTTCTAGGTTTGCACTATACATAATGCTTAAAACCTAGGACTCCCAAAATTTAGGAAAATATGAAATATGTAGATTTTTACCCATTGACAGTTAAGGCTCAATTTTGTATATTGGGCTTTAAAAAAAAAGATTGTCCTTAGTACAGACTCACCCGTCAGATTTTTACCCATTGACAGTTAAGGCTCAATTTTGTATATTGGGCTTTAAAAAAAAAAGATTGTCCTTAGTACAGATTCACCCGTGACCACTCAGTGTCTAAAAGAAAGGGCTTTCTTATTATTAAAGTATATTAAAATAATATAACAACTACAAATACTACATGGTCCTCAATGGATACAGAAACACAAATGAATGTTGACAAATCTGGAAGCAATAACCAATGCAATAATGTGTGGGAAGAAAACAAGTGAATACATAAAAGTGGGTTAACTGATGTTCACTTCCATACAAAATGGTGGTAACCTAATTGGTTAAGACTTGAGGACTAGTAATCTGGTCAGATTCATGACCTGGAAAAAAAACATCAAGACACAACATCACCACTAGAACCAGGTACTCCAAAGGCGCTCTATCTGTGCTTATAATAAATATACTGCAAGTTATCTTCTAAGCTAAAAACTAAGTGCATCCAAGGACATATAAATATAAAAGTATGCCATTGGAGAGACTCATAGAGATCTCATTTTTAGCTGTAGAAAGTCAGCTTGAATTAATGACAATGAACAGTTTTGATGGTAACGCCATTAATATGTCAACAGTGAACCCATAGGGTCAAGTACATATGCAATGCTGTGCCTAACATCACTTAAGTAGATCTCTGTATGTTCAGCATCCTCAACAAGTAAGAGAATCAGTCTGTTTACTGAAGTTGAACATTGTTTTCCGAAGGTAAAGCTGGCATGACGTGCTCGGCTCATGTTAGAACTCGTCATGAGGTATCTTCAGGGCATGGTCACAGAGATCTGTGGAAGGAGTTCAAATAAACTATTACATATGCAAGTGTAGTAAGAAAAAGGTATTGATGATAGTTCCACGTGTCCTTCTGAATATTTTTTCAATATTGTACATGTGTCAGCTATGCTTGAAAAGGTGTCGTCATAATGTTTTTAACAGGTAAATGCATGTAGCTTGTGACTACGATGAAATAAAAGAACTTCAGATAGAGACACATATCATGTGGAGTTCATAGATGGGTCTGAAATGAAAGAATACTGAATCAAATATGTTTACAGCATTACCCGTCCTCTTACTGCAGAGCTTGTCTTTAACGTTGTCCGTCTCATGAGCAAAGAATTCAATAAGTTCATCCTCGTGCTGCTCAACGATTGTTTCACACTGTGAAAAATCACGCATAAAGAAAGACTATTTCTAAAACCGGTCAGAAAATTCTGATGTCTGATAGTGTACAATTATTGCATCAAATCAGCAGCGAATTGCATCATAAATGCAAATGCAAGTTAAGGTTTGACTTAAAAATAAATACATGAAGAAATGAAAAAAAAATATATATATATATATTCTCACAGCAAACTTTAAACTAGAGCTGACTCTGGAGTCAAAGAATCGTTCATCCTCTCACAAACCTCTTCCATCAGTTCCAGCAGATGACTCTCAGAGCGGGAAAAGGGAACCTGAGCACATTAAAACAAATGCATAAAGATCTGTAAGTTGGTGTCAAAAACAAACAAACACAAAATGATGTCATTATGAACCTCAAATGTGTCACCTCTCTTACTGACTGACTGCCATCAGGATTAATCCTAAATGATCCGGTCTGGATCATTTTCTTGGGATCTATTTGCGATATGGCCCATTCCATTTCATCAACTAATGCCCTGCATGCTAGGGGAAAAAAACATGTGCATGATGCAATTCAGAAGTACTCCTTCATCACAAAGATTTATTAAAACAGTTTGAAGATGCATTTATGAAGGTGTGTAACATTCCTGATGTTTCTTTGTCATGCACGACAACTGACCCACAATGCCAGTCTAGGTATAAAAATATATGTGCACAGTAAATTATAAAAGGTTTGAAAAAAGTTGAAATACCTCCACATTTTATGTCTTGACCCTGTCTGGCTCCTTGGACTAACAGTAGGTGCAAAGACATCAATGCACATACGATAACAATGTAAAAATGTTTTTCCATCCCCACCTACAAAACCAAATAAAACGTAAGGTTACTGCATACAATTTTATTTTATTGCAGCCTTCGATAGCTGGGATAAGACACAGAATGGCCGGACTTACCTTTCACGAAATACAATCAAGCAATAAAATCATGCAATGTGTTAATGTATTCATTCATCGAACTGAATCGCATGCATATTTTAAGGCAGCGCGTGAACTTACAAACCGTTTGCTTTAAATGCACCGCACACACGCGTTCTTGAACTGATGACGTGCACACAGGGATAATTGTAGCTTAGGAGCTGACCTGAGATCTGCCGCCTGAGATCCTGGTTTTTCTTCTTGAGATGTGATGGCTGTCTTTGGTGCATTACCGCCACCAGCCGAACTGGAGTGTGAAGCAGTGACGCGAAATACACGTGCGCCCTTTACAAATAGTGGGACCCATGATAAATATGACCAAAACACTCTGAAAAAGACACTCTGACCTTTAAGTAATCGTATTTTTTTTCTCATATGTGTGTGTGTGTGCCACAGTTATTGGCAGCCTCAATTTAATGCAACATCCCTTTGTCAAGATAAGAGCTGAGGTTTCTCCTGTAATATTTAACTAATAAGCCGGTAAAACTTATAGCAAGGATATCTGACAGCACTTCTCCTTAGACAATCTCTCCAGATCCTTCAGATTCTGTGGTCCATGTTTATAGACTCTCCTTTGCAGCTTGTCGTTCCTACAGGTTTTCTTCCGGGTTTCGGTCAGGGGACTGGGGTGGCCATGGCAAAACCTTCATTCTGTGGTCAGTGAATGTGGTGTGCTTTGGATCATAGTCCTCCTGTTGGAATATTCGCCAACATACTTCACAGCAGATATTGCATGGTTATATTTCGGCCTGTGCCAAACCCACTTCTGGTGTTTGTTTCCAAAAGGCTCTGTTTTGGTCTATAGCAGGGGTCTCCAACCTTTTTTGTCGTATGGACCGGTGGGGAGGGGGGTGGGGGATTCTGAACAAAATTTAATTGACAAGAAATCATCAAATTATATATCTATATCACTGCATGCAACAACAAACTAAAACAAAACATTACAACTCACCATAATAATCATTGGAAGCACTGGGCTTGTTTCCCTGCAATAATACGGTACCAACCAGGATGGGTGACAGTGAGACTCGAAGCGTGTTGCAGATCTCCAATCTGCTCTCTAACTTTGTTTTAGTGGCTGTGAGCGCAGAAAAACCCACTTCGCGAATGTCTGAAGTTGGAAAATGAAGTAAACATTTTAGAGCCTTAGTAGCTATCTCTGGAATATTCCGTCTTTGTTTGCAGAAGCCTGCAAGGGAGGATGTCTGAAACATACTTTTCAACCCGCCCTCATTTGCAATCTCAATGAGCTGATGCTGTTTATGCACTGGCATGGATGATTCGAGGGGCACGTTTGCAAATTCCTTTTCAATTCTTGGATCACTTGCATTTGGGATGTAGCACTCGAACTCGGGTGACAGCAGAGCTATGTGTAAAGGCGAAACACACAATAAATAATACAATGGGATTGCATACAACTGGATCTTCTGGTCTATAGCACTCAGTCCCAATGAAGATTACAGTAATGTAACTGTAGGCAATTGAGTTTTTTTTTTTTTTTATCTTAGTGAAGACTTTTCATTCCAAACCTCCCAAATAAGTTGTGGTTATGTAGGTGCCACCTGATTGTAGTTTCGGAGACTTTCTGACCCCAAGACCCAACTAACACCTGCAGTTCTCCAGCAGTGATTTTTATTTATTTATACGTTTATTTGGATAGGGACAATACAATAAACATGAGTCCAGTCAAAGACTGGAAAAATGCACTGCACATAGAGATTATAGCAGGTGCTAATTTGCATCTCGTGTCCCTTTCTTTCAAAAAAAATAAAATAAATCATTACATGTATAAATAACCAAAATGATTATAATAAAATAACTCTGTACCAAAACTAATGTAACAAACCCTTCATATAAAATCCTCACACATTACAAACAGAATACAGAACAAACACATGCACCTAGTTTTACAGACTCTTCCAATCCTAATAAATAACTAGTAAGGAGCCATACGAAAATTTAAATATGCGTACAGGTCTGGTTTATTTTAAGCCAGCGCTTAACCATCAACGTAAAAGACTTTATATCATGTATCACTTTAAACTCATTTGGCAACATATTCCAAAGTTGGGATCCCTTTACAGAGAATGCTCTTTGCCCTTGTGATGTTCTACAAAACCAAATCCTACAGTTTCCAACCTCTGTGCTCCTAGTAGTTCGGCCTGTATCATCCTATCTCTTTACCAAATTACATAAAACAGAAAGTGCCTTATTATGCAAACATTTAAAAAATCTATTTCACATATGAAACATTTTTAAATTTCGTAAAATTAAGCATATGCCATTTCTTTAAAATACGACAATGATGCCATTGATTTGGCTTTTTAACCATTATTTTTCAAGCCTGATTATACAGCATCTCAATTTTTCTAATTAAAGAATCAATAGTTTGAGACCAAACTGTAATACAATATGAGATACAGGACAAAATCATTGTATGCAGGAACAGATGAAGCTGCCTCAGTCATAACGTAATGCCTAATGAGTTTAAAACAATTTAAATTAATCTTAACAAAGCCTTTTTATATGTTTGTCAAATTTAAGTTGTGAATCTAGAACTACTCCTAAAATACAAACTTCATTTACTTCCTCTATTTTTTTGTTAAGTACCCTAATTTTTTTTTTTTTCTGGTTTCTTTCTATTAGAAAAACACATAAAATACTAATGTGAGATTATTTTCCTGGAGCCATCTGGATATCTTTTCCATTTGCTAATTTAAAAGTGCCACAACCTTAGCTGATTACTTAGCAGATGTATATATTACTGTATCATCAGCATAAAGCTGACACTCAACATCTGGACAACTACATGGCAGATCATTTATAAACAAACTAAAAGCATTGGACCTAAAATTGAGCCTTGAGGTAAACCCATCTTGTTTCTCATAAACACTGATTTTGTATCCTCTTGTATTTTTACACACTGCTCCCTTTGCTTTAGATAAGAGGTAAACCATTCAGTTGATTGTTTACTAAAATTAAATGAACTTAGTTTAGCAAAATAGCATGGTTAAGTGTGTCAAAGGCTTTTTTTTTAGATCAATACCCATTACATCAGCACTCATTACATGCCCCTGATCCAAAGAAGATTGAGCCTTTTCTAAAAAAAAAAAAAGACAAATAGCCGTTTCTGTGCAATGCTGTGGTCTAAAACAAAATTGATGTTGATGAAGGAGATTATTACATTCTAAATAATTTATTAATTGTTCAGCCACAACTTTCTCTAAAAACTTAGACATAACCAATAAAATTGACATTGGACGAATATTTGAAGTTTTCTTCCGGGTTTCGGTCAGGGGACTGGGGTGGCCATGGCAAAACCTTCATTCTGTGGTCAGTGAATGTGGTGTGCTTTGGATCATAGTCCTCCTGTTGGAATATTCGCCAACATACTTCACAGCAGATATTGCATGGTTATATTTCGGCCTGTGCCAAACCCACTTCTGGTGTTTGTTTCCAAAAGGCTCTGTTTTGGTCTATAGCAGGGGTCTCCAACCTTTTTTGTCGTATGGACCGGTGGGGAGGGGGGTGGGGGATTCTGAACAAAATTTAATTGACAAGAAATCATCAAATTATATATCTATATCACTGCATGCAACAACAAACTAAAACAAAACATTACAACTCACCATAATAATCATTGGAAGCACTGGGCTTGTTTCCCTGCAATAATACGGTACCAACCAGGATGGGTGACAGTGAGACTCGAAGCGTGTTGCAGATCTCCAATCTGCTCTCTAACTTTGTTTTAGTGGCTGTGAGCGCAGAAAAACCCACTTCGCGAATGTCTGAAGTTGGAAAATGAAGTAAACATTGTAGAGCCTTAGTAGCTATCTCTGGAATATTCCGTCTTTGTTTGCAGAAGCCTGCAAGGGAGGATGTCTGAAACATACTTTTCAACCCGCCCTCATTTGCAATCTCAATGAGCTGATGCTGTTTATGCACTGGCATGGATGATTCGAGGGGCACGTTTGCAAATTCCTTTTCAATTCTTGGATCACTTGCATTTGGGATGTAGCACTCGAACTCGGGTGACAGCAGAGCTATGTGTAAAGGCGAAACACACAATAAATAATACAATGGGATTGCATACAACTGGATCTTCTGGTCTATAGCACTCAGTCCCAATGAAGATTACAGTAATGTAACTGTAGGCAATTGAGTTTTTTTTTTTTTTTTATCTTAGTGAAGACTTTTCATTCCAAACCTCCCAAATAAGTTGTGGTTATGTAGGTGCCACCTGATTGTAGTTTCGGAGACTTTCTGACCCCAAGACCCAACTAACACCTGCAGTTCTCCAGCAGTGATTTTTATTTATTTATACGTTTATTTGGATAGGGACAATACAATAAACATGAGTCCAGTCAAAGACTGGAAAAATGCACTGCACATAGAGATTATAGCAGGTGCTAATTTGCATCTCGTGTCCCTTTCTTTCAAAAAAAATAAAATAAATCATTACATGTATAAATAACCAAAATGATTATAATAAAATAACTCTGTACCAAAACTAATGTAACAAACCCTTCATATAAAATCCTCACACATTACAAACAGAATACAGAACAAACATATGCCCAAGTTTTATAGACTCTTCCAATCCTAATAAATAACTAAGGAAGCATATGAAAATTTAAATATGCGTACAGGTCTGGTTTATTTTGAGCCAACGCTTAACCGTCAATGTAAAAGACTTTATATCATGTATCACTTTAAACTCATTTGGCAACATATTCCAAAGTTGGGATCCCTTTACAGAGAATGCTCTTTGCCCTTGTGATGTTCTACAAAACCAAATCCTACAGTTTCCAACCTCTGTGCTCCTAGTAGTTCGGCCTGTATCATCCTATCTCTTTACCAAATTACATAAAACAGAAAGTGCCTTATTATGCAAACATTTAAAAAATCTATTTCACATATGAAACATTTTTAAATTTCGTAAAATTAAGCATATGCCATTTCTTTAAAATACGACAATGATGCCATTGATTTGGCTTTTTAACCATTATTTTTCAAGCCTGATTATACAGCATCTCAATTTTTCTAATTAAAGAATCAATAGTTTGAGACCAAACTGTAATACAATATGAGATACAGGACAAAATCATTGTATGCAGGAACAGATGAAGCTGCCTCAGTCATAACGTAATGCCTAATGAGTTTAAAACAATTTAAATTAATCTTAACAAAGCCTTTTTATATGTTTGTCAAATTTAAGTTGTGAATCTAGAACTACTCCTAAAATACAAACTTCATTTACTTCCT